TTTGAAAACTGTGTGAAAAATCAACAAACTTATAGATATTGAGCACTAAGAAATGGAGACAGAGATCACGGGAAAGATCACTAAGGCTGCCTTAGATTAGACAAAAACAGGGGATGGACATTCAGCCCATACATCTTTGGCATTACGGGCTTATGGGAACGCTTGCAAATCAGTAAATCGATAGGCCATGGGCAATTTCAACTCCACAAGTGACTTTATCGATTTCTAAAAAATATTGAATAGCAAGTAGCAGGAACCAAATGATTTCAATCGAAGCGCAAATGCCCGGATATATCGTAGGATTAAGTTACTCACTTGTTTGGGTATCATATCAATCAATCAACCGTGTAACCAGGTCATTCTGATCAGGTTTGTGGGAGGATAGTGCTAGGTGTTTTCCGTGTGCGTGTGTGTGTGTGTGCTGCAGAGAGGAGGAAGTGGGAACTTCGTGTGTCTTGACAGAATGATTATTCACAATTTCTACTGTGAAACAAAACCAATGCGAAGAAGAATGAAAAAATGATTTAAATAACACAAGTTTGATGAGTCAATCAGACCAATCAGATCTCGCTTTTCACAAAGAAAGGTAAAACATGATTTGCTTAACCTAATGACGCTGGACTTACTGTTTCAATTACCAGTCTATCCCGTGGCCATTATCTTCACTCACTGACTGATTGTTGATTGATTGGTTGCTTCACTCATTCATTCGGTTAGTCAGTCAATCTGTTGACCCCAATCATTCGGATACAACTGCACTAAACCAGTCATTAGTTCATTCATTCATTCATTCATTCATTCATTCATTCAGTCAGTCAGCTGCAGTCAGTCAGTCAGCTTTAGTCAGTCAGTCAGCTGTAGTCAGTCAGTCAGCTGCAGTCAGTCAGTCAGCTGCAGTCAGTCAGTCAGTCAGTCAATCAGTCAGTCAGTTGTTTGATATGTTTGTCAGTTTTAATCAATCACTAAATACGCATTTGAGCATTCTCGGATCGTGATTTGGTAATAATCATTCATCGTGATCTGCTTGTTCGCGTGTCTTTCATCGTAAGCATATAACAAGTCTGAATACCAGGCAGGTGGATAGCTGACTCATTCAACTGTCTGACTTGTTTTGGTCCACGCTGCCTCTCACACTTTTGGCACCATTTTTTCACAGATCGTAAAACCGCGAGTGATAGAGAGAGAGAGAGAGAGAGAGAGAGAGAGAGTAAACCCTAAAGGCTCAGTTACTGAATGAAATGGGTGAGGCACGTGGGACAGGGTGAGAGAGAGAGAACAGGGAACAGCGAGAGAATAAATGTGATCCCGGACACATGGATGTTCTTTCCTCTCTCCTATGGATCGTTCGATTTGACTATTTCAGACTGATTGCATTCACTTGATTGTTTTGGATGGTTGGATGTATGCTCCATAGATGACAGTCCAGACCGCATCGGAAGCTTCGCATATTCACAGTGATACGGGAATGCTTTGTATTCTCTTTCTTCTTCCTGAAACATTCTGTCAAAGAAACTAATATACCATAGAAAAGTCCTCGTTTTTATGTGAGTGGGCAAGAGCTGAAGTTCACTGTGACTGAGGATCATTTTATTCATTTGATTGGTATCAATTGAAGGCTAATACTGCGTGTGTGTTTGTGTGTGTGTGTGTGCGTGCGTGCGTGCGTGCGTATATGTGCCAATCAAATTTCCGTTTGTATTTCACAACCGCATCGATCCCTGTTGAATTGCTATTGGTCATATGCGAACCGGTTCATGTTTGCTTATGATTCATGATTAAAACCAGAAATAATGAAACAAGATGATTGGATTTCTTGTTTCAGATAGCTGAAGTCTATTCCATGTGTCCGTTATTAGTTTTCGACAAGGTAACTATGGTGACCGGACTGAGCTAATTTTAATAGACTGGGTATCAGACTACAAATGTGTGTGGTAATCCAGCACATCTCATATCACTTATTTCTCCTCGGTACACATAAAACACTATATTCCCCCCGAAATGAGGCCTCATCGGTATTGAATGCGTTTTACGATTTTTATTGTATAAATACTATTCACTGTGCCCATTTAAGATCCCGATTATCCAGTTGCAAAATGTGAGTACTTCCACCCAATTTCCCTACGAATAATCGGTAATCAGAACATCAAGAATGATCAAATTTGTCCATCAGATAATACAGATCACTATTGTATTGGGAGCTTGATTTATTGTGGAAATGTGGTAGTAGTAGCAATAGCAGTAAGGACTGAAGACGAAATACAAATCATGGAATACGATTCAGGGACGGGGCGTAAGCATTGAACCATATTGGCACTTGAACGCAATATCACACGGAAACGAGACGCGAGGAAAAGGTCAAAGGAGTAGTAGTTCGTCTATTGAAAGAAATCAGGGGAATTAAATAATATGTTCAAAACCAGTTCATTCGTCATTCAGGCCTCTGCCAATCGCGTTATAGTATTTCTGGTGTCTTCCAGCTTCTGTCTGAGCCGCAAGATTTCTGATTGGCTGGTAGAATCGATCTATGATATGTAGTTTAGAAGCTGTGACACGTACGCGCATTGCTCACATCACCTGGGAAGGTTGATTCATTGAAGTTGTCCGAAAACTGTAACGTGTCGCTCCGTGGTATGCGTCATCTCGTAGGCCAGGATTACCACAGGGGAAATCCGGTGCGAACTGCCGTTAACCTCAACCCGGGGAAAAGAATGTAAAGACAAAAATTTGTTGATTCGGGATATTCAAACCGGCGTGCATTGATCTAATTCGCAGAATAAGTGTGGGGCTCCTCGATTCAGGCAACTCATTTCACATAACGGTTGGACTGTGTTGTGGCCTGCGGTCGAGTGAAACGTTTACCGTGCATCACGTGTTTGACCGTTGCGGCCTGCCACCACAAGCACGGACGCACGTCATGCGGACTTACCCTGTTACAAGGTCGATCCACCTCAACGAATCAGAGGTCAGTATTGATCTCTCCTCATTGATTGGTTCGTTGACTGCCCAGCGTGATGATACTCCTTTTGGTAAGACTTGCGCCAGTTCTGTGCCTGCCTGTCTGCGTGTTGACGCACTGCTTGCTCACCGGCTTACGGACCGGCTACGTTTGCGTTTACCTACTGGAAATATAATTACTACTTAATTCACTACTTGCGTACTTACTGACTCATACGGGATACAACAGACTGTAGCTACATCAACTAAATGTGAGACAATGTAAGACAACTGTTACAGACTGCACAACAGTTGTAATTTAAGTAGTAGATAGGTCGGCTGTCACCCGGTTCAATACCTTACCTGATCTACCGAGGTCTTATGGTCCTTCCTTCACTCTAAGTCCTGGGAACGTGGTCCTCGGTTTCATTCGCCCAACATGAATATAACAATACACATTCCCGCGGTGGTGGCCTGGTGGTAACGTCACCAAATTATCACCCTGGAGATGTGTACTCGAAACCCACCACCACCACCACCACCACCGCCGCTTAACTTTCCACATTGTTTTGAATAGCAGCCCTTTGATTGGCCGCCGCCCTCTTCCTGAAAGTTGTATCTTTTTATATGCAATATAAGGAAGTAAACAGAAAATAAAAAGAAAGAAAGAAAAAGAAATGACTCGCAAAGCAACCGCGAACTCATCATCCATCATCGAACCATTCCTGAAACTAAACCGGAACATTGATTCCGTGCACCAAATTCCCTATTCTTGTTCCTCTTCTTTGCCTCCTCTCGTCCTATAGATTCGATCGAAACACAGATCTGTCCCACGTCGAACATCATCAGGTCTTTAACTACATTTTTCAGCCCGCCTCTCTCCGGTGTCTGCTCCTTTACCGACAAATCATTCAATACCTCTAGAATATTAAATCTCGACATTCTCAATCATGATTTTCAGCTAATATGACTGGAGCTCAGTCTTACTTCTTTTAATCAGGACTTTTGTGTTCTTTCAGTCACTCCCTCATCTTTCACTGTTTTTTATCACACAATTGAACACCCGTTTGTGAAGGACCGTAACTGTCGCTTTGCCTCCTAGACACTTCAATGTTCGTAATAAAAGATCATGGTTTTATTCGGGATGGGAATCGGAATCGAATGGCGGGAACTCAAATTCTGACTGAAAACTCATTGAATAGCGCAAAATCGGGCAGATCAGAGACGAGTTATGGAAAATCATGCAAATTAATATTACAAGCATCAAACAATCATTGGCCAATTTTCCGACGTCCAACCGACAACGTCTGGTCTGGCACTTCTGGTTGCCTTCTTCCGGTCAGCCAATCCGATTGATTCTACTTAAAATCACAGGATTGGTTAGGAAATCTGTTTCCTGATTGGTCGCTTGGAAGTTGTACTGTGGTGGATGCCTACTCGGTGCATGATCACCACAGTTTCTCTTCTATCCCTTTTGCAGTATGCTTTATCAATATGAGGACTTTCCTCTTTACCGTTATCCACATTATATGGTAACAAGGAAGATGAAATCCGTATCATGCATGAATGATAACCCGTCCTATTGATGATCCATTGGCGTGGGTTAGGAGCTACAACATGTGAACTTTCAAATGAGAATAGTTTAATGAATAGGTGGTTTCCCACGTTCTTTCTGGGTATCCGTCGCGGGAGGAAATAGAATCAAGGATTGGGATTGTAGAAACGTTATATTCTGAAAATTCCGAAATGTTGAAATTAAGTTTTGCTATGACTGGGATGTTATTTTAGCAACGGCAGAGTAAATCTGAAAGTAGATGTTATCAGTGCACGGGAAGCGTGCGATACAAAGCTCACCGTGGGGGAATAGTGTCGGTTCGGTCTTTTCAAGCTCAATGAAAGCACGATAATGGTGAGAGCAAAACTTAATCCTGGAAATGTCCAATTTGCTATATCTTACAAAGTAACTATCCCTAGAAGATCACTATCAACAAATAATGGCGATACATGCTAAATCTTAACAGTACACTTGATTGAGCCTGGTGGAGAAAGGTCCTTATGGTAGAACGAAAAGCATAACAGTGGCATAGCTTTTGTAATAATTCTATCTGATCAAGGAGCTAAGTTGCTGCTTTATATCTGAACCTTGCTGGTTCTGATGAGTATGCAATGGTTATGTAACCATGTCCTGATAGTCCTCAATCAGACAGGACTGGTTGGAAACTGAACCTGTCCTGCTACTAGTCACACCAGCGTAGGGTGAAGATGCTTCTGGTCCGTGGTTTGATGATCACGTCCAACTTGAATGGATCTATCAGGAAACTTAGTGAAAAGCAAGAGGCAAGAAAAGCAAACTGCCGTTGCGAAACTGTCGGTTGAAGAACGGCTAATATAGATTCTATCTCGATGGCCGTTGCCAGAACAAGGTGGGACTCGCCATCACGCCCAAACCGGGGAGAATACTGTCATATTCTGAAGTGCCATCTTTTCGGATGTATTCTCCTAGATTAATTACTCTGAAAAAAACTATCAACAGTTCGCTCTTAATCGTGAGCAAAATTTACAAGGAATCAGACACGATCACATCCATCTGTTCTCAGCTCACTCTCTTAATCATGTTAATGTTGCCTTAAAACATCAACAGAATAAAAAAAACCACCAACCCCATTTGAAATTGAATGAGAATACTTGTGGTTTATGGATGCGATTGGTTTAGGCCAATGGGACAGAATTCTGCAGTTTTCACGATTGAACAATTTCAAGTTTTATTCCATCTGAAATCTAATCCCTTTTCCGTCAAGCTTTGAACCAAACCTGTCAATGGCTTAACCCAGATCCACAAACATTCAAGCTTATTCCCTCACGTTGCTTTGGCCTTGACGTATAAACTTGAGCTATCCCGCCAGCTTAAAATATATCCGAATCTTGAAGGGTTTCAAGTCCCACAAAGGCTGGTCTCATTGTTTTGTTGTTGTTACAAAACACGGTGAGTAAATGAGGTGTGAATATCGTTTCTAAGACAATGGATCCAACGCGGACTCCTATAGGAATAACGGCAAGGGCC